ATGGACAGAAACACCTGTGGATGTTTTCAGATCTGAATCAAGTGGAGCTTGATTTTCTCCTCTCCCTCAAAGATGAGAGCTTTAAGTCTGTCTATGTGATGGGGACAGTTTTGGTGGTCTGCAAGGTTTTTTTTGAACTTCTGTTCTTTTCCCCTTATTTTCTTTTGACTGTCTTTTTTCTTATGCAAGTATCTTGACCTCAGTTCATACAAAACTACATGAACACAAAGCATTATGTTTTCACAGATCTTGCCGGACCACCAGAACAAAACCTTCACTATAATTCACTACATTAATTAAACAACGCTTCTAAACTTGTTCCACTGGTGAGAAAAAAAAAAAAAACTGTCAGAAATGTAATGAAGAGTCATTGTTTTGCAATCAGATGTCCTTTGGTGTATAAAGGGCAAGGAAGTTTTGGGGCAAGGCCTAGAAAAACATAAAGAGCTTATCACAGTTATCTTGTGACGTGCATGTTTCTTGCAGTGCTGGTAAAACAAGGAAATACTTGTAAGTGATTGACACAAGGGTCGAGATTAATGTTTGTGAGAATAAATTTGCATCTCATGAATTTATTTGACACATTTCATAAGTGAGCAGAACTCAATAACTATGACCAATAACTAAGTAACTATGTCACTATTAAGTTTTGATAAAATCAAGAGTCAGACGTTCGTAGGGGTTATATTTACACTATTGTGCAAAAATGATCTGTAAAGCTGTTAATCTGGACAGTAAATGTTTAAACAGCAAGTAAAACACAAATATTACAATAAAAATAAATAACATTAATGTCATTAAACCACATTTTCAAATCTCTCTTCAAGGAAGTCCAGTATTTACAGTTACCATCCAAAATCTGGTTTATCTTATCAATCTTTCATTAAATGAAAGCAGGTAGAGGAATTGAACAAATCAGTGTGATGGCTGGAGCGAAGCAAAGGTCAGGAACCAAACTTGTGCTCTTCTGTCTGTATTCTTCTGAACTACATCCTCATAACTTTACTCAAAACAACACATTCCGACTACTGACCACTGTATTTACATTTATTTTTGTTTTATAGTTTTTTATATGCAAATGTGCACTTACTGTCAAGACAAGCAGTTTTGAAAGGTTCTCACATCTAGTAGTAGTAGTAGTAGTACTAGTAGTATTAAACTAAGAAATAAAGGAAGACTCTGTTCTTTTTATGACCGCTTTAAGTGGTTAGTTCAACTGTTGAGCCTTCATTCTGTTCAACTATTACATAAACATAGTCAATATCAGTCATAATGTAATACTTTTAGCATTTTTATGTCTATAAACATGCCCAGTGCAGTAATTGGACAGTGACACGATTTCTGTTGTTTTGGCTGTGATTCCTATATGTTTCATTCTATATCACCTGGAATTAAATGGGAATTCCATTGATTGCTCAAAATATCTGCATAATTAAATGGTTGAGATGTAAACAAAGTCATTCAGAGTGGTTTGTCCACCTCTAAAAGCTCCCTCATAGAAAGTTATTATATAAAATGGTAATGAAAACACTGCCTGATGTCTGACATTGTTTTTTGGTTGTTTTTGGCCTTAAACGTATTTTTAATACATTCATAGTGTAATAGAGTCCCCAAAGTAAACACATTTTTTCAGTTGTGCCACCCTCATCAGCATTACATATAAAAACTTAGAAGACTCATGTAGGTTCACTGGTGGTTTTGGACATAAATATAATGTCTACATTTGTGCTGTAGACATGGTGACCCCTGGTTCCTATCACCACCACTGTAAAGAAATTTGAGTCTCAATGAACTATTTCACACCAAACCACTCTGAATGACTTCTTATCTTACTGAATTATGAATTCTGCATAAATGTTGGAGGGATTCTTGTAAAGCAGACACTCCACATTGCATTTGGTTTCATTTCCAATGCAGTGTGCTGCAGTACAGACACAAAACAACAGTGTCACTGTCAGACTACGTCCAGACCACATGATAACAATCTGCATGACAGTGAAAGCATGTGCTGTGTTCATGTGTGCAAGTATGTGCATGTGTGGGCGGGCAGGTGAAACAAAATAATCACATGGAAAGATCACATCAAGCATGAGCCATGGACAGACACCTGTAGCAGAGACCCACCCTGTAGAAGAATGAAGAACACTGTGGTTGAGAGGAGGAAAAAATAATCTTCTAGGTGGAGTCCATGGTAGGGCAAGTGCTAGATATGCAACCGTGAACGTAACAGAAACAGCAGGAAACTTGTTTCTCTTATCTAATCCAATGAAACAAAAGAGTCTTGGTCCCCAGCAATGAAAAAAGAAACTTACAAAAGAAGACGAAATGAAAAATGAAAGACATGCTTTGAACTACATGAAGAGTCCAGCTGGTCTCATGTGGGTTGATGCTGGTCTTGTCTTGTGCCGATCAGTGAGCATCTTGCCTGTTATGCTTGTGGAGGTTATAATTAGACCCTAGATTCCCCTTGAACTAATTTTCATGATTAAAGAAAAACATAACATGACAGTGCAAACATTAGGACACACCCTGGATTACAAGAAAGCAAACAAAGTGTGCACCAAAAAATAAACATTGAGCAGAAAGACAAGAATATTACGTAAATGAAACAATGGAAAATGTTTCTGCAACTTGCTGAAAAATAAAAATCCAAATGTCCTTTGATGCCAATGAAAATAATAAGTAATAATAAGTAATTGTAGAAATGTAGTAATAAGTAATAATATGTTTTAAATTACAGGACTGTCCACCTTAACCCTTTTTCATAGTAGCCATAAAGTGCAGTTTCAAGGTTCCTCAATTTAGATTTCAGTCTTAATATTTTGAATTACATCAAAAGTTTAACAAATATTTAAATTGATTTCCTATAACATTTTGATTTAAGTTCTTTTTAAGGACAAATAAAACAAATAAAAACAAATAAAAGTGACCATTACGCTCTCCTTTGATCATCATCGACTTTCGGTGCTTACACAGCAGCCAGTCCTGTAGCATTTTGTCCCTGTTTACCCACTTTGTAAGATGAGCAATGATGTTTTTTCAATGGAAACATACAAAACCAGCTCTAGGTTTCTGCAGATTGTGGGTACCTAGCATAGCTGCTACTTATCTAGCTGGTGCTATCTGCATTCCTGATGCAAAAAAGACATCTACTCGTAGTGGAAATGTTGATTTCCCTTTAATTAGATAATATAATTAATTACCAAATTCTATTGCAAATTTATATACTTTTAAACTGTATTGATTCCATATTCTCTATTGTGACTCCCGACTTTTTATTGTCTTTTTCGAAACATTAGGTTATAAAGAGGTTTAAACGTATCCCTTTCCTCTGGGAAAGTAAAAGTAGTGCATCTTTAAAACCCATTTAGGGTAGACAATTGAGCCTTAAAACCATTACTGATGAATTTTCGTTCATCAGGGCACAAACAATGTAAATGTCCCCAGAAAGGTACAACAGTGGTTTCAACGTCCAAATGTGTACCTTAAATAAGTTTTTCCCAGTGTAAAAATACATATTTGTATCTTTTCATAACCTAATGTTTTAAAACAGAACATTAAGATAAAAAGCCTGGAGACGAGACGGGGTGTGTGGAGTCAATACAATCTAAAAAATATAATTCCAATGGATTATGGTACAATTATGTTCCCTGACTAAAGGTACTGAGATGTAGCCTTGAGGGAACCACCCCAGTGGCAAGAGGGGTCCTGCTCCAGTGACAATTTAGAACCTTTATTTTTGAGAGTGTATAATTGCATAGTTATACTTACATTATAGAGTTGACAAGGAACATGTAGTGCACGTTAATTTATTTAAAAATGTTAAATTCAGCAAATAAACAGTGATTGTGCATTAAAATGTGCAATGCTAAAGTGTGTTCTCTGTAGAGGATGTGTTCACTTATTTTCACTTAAAAAATCAACACATTTGACCAGGGGCACCCAAACCTTTGCACATGGCTACATAAGAGTTGCATTTACTGCTACTTCCGTATATCAGTGGTAATTTGATTCTATATTTAATCTAACATCCTTGTGTTTTCTCACATAGTTGAATTTTTGACGTATGAAGGGAAGAGCACACCTGGAATTCCTCCCTCTTATCTATGAATTCCATCTCGACCTTTCCCATGACGAGGATCCCCTTCCCCATTCCTCACTTCTGCCTCTCAGTTTTTAAATTACGTAACAGAAACTCCAAACTCCAGCCCAAGTTGTCTCTCACATGTAGTGTCTACTCATGCTACAAGCATTTTATCACTGTCAGAACAAAATCTTCAAAACTGTAACTTCACAGGAGAAGGAAAAAACCTTCTTAACTTTTAATGAAAACTTTTTCATTATCAACAAGTTATTTTGGTCCGTTTCTATTGGTCCACTCATTATGAAATTTTCGGAATAGTGATGCCCATGCTTTGTTGGTTTTGCATTCTCGGCAGGGGACTTACATATGGCATCACTGTGTGACTTTTCTACACAGTTTCTATGTATTTCTTCCGTTTGACATACTGGAAAAATATAAAGTGCAAAATGTGCCATAACTTTTGCACATGCCACATTTTATGTTCTTTTGTTCCCAATATATTAAATTTAGCAACGGACAGCATTAAAATGAGCAGTGTTCTCTGTAGAGAATGTGTTTACTTATTTTCACTTAGAAAATCAACAAACACACGGAATTTGACCAGTGAACCCCAACTTTTGCATGTAAAAAAGTAAAAAAGGCCAAAAAATGAGGCACTATGACGACAACAACAACAGTGATGATATGCTGAATTTGTGACCTGAAGTAGTGGCAACAGGATGTCCTATTATTAGGTGTTTTATTGCATCCATGCGTCTCAGCAATGATTTGTATTCTGATCTCAGCGAGCTCTTCTTACTAACAGAAACAAACAGAACTTTGTGTCTGATAGGCAAAGAAATTGCAAAGCAGTTTCTCTGAGCGCCATTTCTTGTTCAGCAGGTTCCACCTTATGACTGACAGGCTTTACTGCCTTATGGCATCTGTGCATGAAGATTGAGGACGACGATTACAAATCCATCTCTAAACAAAACAGTATAAGGATATTTTATAATTTATCCAATATAGATAGAGTTTACATTATAGATTTACAGGAATACTGAACTACTCCACTTCAGTTCTTTGAGAGATGGACTAGAGGAGTAAGACTAAAGATTCTCTCACCCTTAGCATTAGCATCTGAGGGCGGCACGGTAAAGTCAGGCTTAAAAGGTGAGTGAACTTTGTTCTCATGTTCTCTTACATGGATCAAGAGACTGAAAGTTTCTAAAACTGTTAATTCATGTAATTCTACCATCTCACAATTCTGAATTCGTATCCGTATCTGAGGTTTATTTTTGGTCAGGGATCAGGATGTGCATATTTTGGTTGTGGCGATGAGTCAGTGTAGGAATGTGTTTGCAGAAACAAGTTTGTTTGCATTGTGCAGATGTTGACTGTAGATGATATAAGTCTTTGTGAGTGGCATTTCCACACAAAACAGTACAAGTGTGTTTTTCTTGGATCGGTCCCTTTCAAAACTAATATCTAAACTATGAATTGATCCATTAATAGTTCCTGCTTTGTTGGCTCTGTTTTTGTGTTCTAAAAGGTGAGCAAAGTATGTTACCACTGATGAAAGATGACAGGGTAGAGAAAACAAGAAACACAATAACGATTGCAGTCAACTTCTAACATGCAGCTACATTTTTCCACAGGACTCTGACCACAATTCCTTTATCACGTCACGCTTTGCCTTGTGCAGACAACCAGGAAGCACTGACGCAGCTATGAAATGTGACATTTTATTCCTGGTGTTGAGTGGTGAGTTGTGACATGCACATGTCACCTGGAATTCTACAATTTTTGTTATTTAGGTTTTATTTCCTGATCTGTTTCCTGATACTGATGTTTATATGAATGATTCTACCCTACTGGTTCAAAATCAAAAACCCTTTCGAACTTTTAACTAACTTGGACAATAGGCTAAAATCCTTTTGCTGTGAATGGCCCCATATCTTAATTTTGTTTATTTTATTAAAATAAATGATTGAGTATTCCATTGAGTCACTATCAATGCAATCAAAACATTACTGAACACTTTCCAAATGTTTCAATAGTGACAATTTCAGCAAATTTTGAGCTCAAAAATACTTCTCAGTACATGACTAGCAAGCACAGCTTTGAACAGTGGTGCACATAAAAATAAAATAAAAATATGATAAGTTTTTATTTAATTGCAAAAAATATCTACTTCGGTAGTGACAATTCTTAATGTTACACACTGATTTTCAGACTTTAAGACACATTTACATCAAAACAGTGGGATCTAACTGCTTACCATGTGGCCATGAGAGACAGGGATGCAGTCTCACTTCCTGCTCTAAAATGAGAATAAAACTCTTTGCGTTTTGGTAATGACGTGAAAACAGCATGTTTTAAATAACTTTAAAAAAAAAGGAAATGAATGAATGATAAATCTAAATCTTTCAGCTCCACTTCAAAACAAATCAAAAAGATTAAAAAAAACAAAACAGAAAAAACCTAAGCATTATTTTCACAAGTTGAAATTTAGGGGTTAGAGTTATGACAGATGCCCCCCCAGTTGAACATACCCTATAAATGATGATTTTGTATATATTTAGCATATTTAGCTTACTATTATATTTAACTTATCACTTTCTTTATCAATGCCAAAGTTTTAAAGAGATCATAACATAATCCTTGGTCTGAAAGCTTGTACATATACGGTCTAAATGGTCCATATACAGTAGCTTTGGAACACCTCTATCATTATTTATTTTGTAGAATTATTATATTTGTCAATGTATTATTGGATCAGACATGGCAGTGCTGCTGGAGCTTTTAAACACTGGTGTCCACTCACTGTCCACTCTATTAAACACTCCTACCTTGTTGGCCCTCTTTGTAGATGTAGTCAGAGACAGTAGCTCATCTGTTTCAGCACAGGTTCTGTTAGTCATTTTCTAGCCCTTCATCAGTGTTCACTTTCTGACCTCAGGATGCTACTGGCTGGACGTTTTTGGTTGGTGGAGTATTCTCAGTCCATCAGTGATACTGAGTTATTTAAAACATCTGTGCTGTGGGGGTCCTGATTAATGATGAATAGGGTAAAGAGGGACTAACAAATAATACAGACAGACAGACAATGAGTGTAAATACAAAATAAAATAAAGTAGTCAGTTAGTGTATGTTCTCTCACTGTCAAGAATGGTCAACAAGGTTCCAGTATATAACCTTTGCATTATGTGGAGGTTCTTTACACTTTAAAATGTTCTTCAGAGTTGCACATTTTGTGTTCTTTAAAATGATCCTGTAAAGCAGTGGTTCTCAAACCTGTTCTCAAGAACTTCTAGATGGTCCACATTTGTGCTCTATTTGTATGTGTTGCAAGTTAGGTTGGAACAAAAATGTGGACCATCTGGGGATCCATGAGGACCTGTTTGAGAACCACTGCTTTAAAGATCCCAGGGTGACCATACATCCTCTTTTTCTAGGACATGTATGCTTTTCTGGACATAAACAAACTTCAGGCATGCATTTCTAAATTGCAAAATTTAGATTTGGCTTTTGCTTTCTACAGTCTGCCTCATGCTGCCCTCCTGCCCCCAGTGTACACATTTTTGAAAACTAAAATATGGTCACCCTAAAAAACCATCAACTGAAAAGTTTTTAGGGGAGCAAAAGTTGTTCTGCTATGGCATGGTTATGCTAGCTATGGTTATGTAAACATTTGGCAGTTTTTTTGATAACTTTGAAAGCTTTATTGTTAAAACATTTTTGTTGTTACACATGACTTCAGTAAATGCCTTACTGAAGTTGTGTGATCCCTAATAACCGTTGTTTGAAGTGATCTGTGCAACAATACATATCAATCTTTCCTTAATCTCAAGTAACCTGTAACTTTTATTTTTTCAGCTATGTGGCAATCATCTTGCTTACTTGCTGACACCACTACAGTAAATGAAACAGCATCCATGTCTAGCACTAACCAAACATCCCCAGTTGTTTCCATGGACAATGTGACTGTGAGTATAGACATATCTAGCTCTTCTCAGACAGAAGCTATGTCTGAAACGTCAAGAATCACTGACACATCTCAGATGTCAACCAGCGCTACAGATCCAGAACCGCACACTGCCATAACCACCTCCAGTATCATGACATCCCAGATATTTAAACGTATGGATACATCAGCAGTCCAGGACACACAAACAGACAATTCCCTGATGACAGCTGTCCTCAGTACAAAAGAAAGAACTTTGAAGACGGAAAATCCTTCATCTCCAACTATGTTAAGCTCAAATTTATCTTCCACAAGCTTTGCTATAACCAGAGATCATGGCACTTTATCAAAAAACACAACTGAGATCCAGACCCTGGTTCCAGTAAATGTAACCACAAGCTTAGACTCCACCATCTCAAATCCTCTTTCGTCTTTAGGTGACAACCTTGACAATGCTACAACTGGGATGGAATCCAACTATTCAACAACTGATGTAGCCATAGTTACTTCCTCAGTTTCTATCAGACCAGGTGGACCCAGTACAAACACTCCAAACATACCAACAATAAAGTCAGTTACAACCAACAACATTACTAGTCAACATACATCTTCCCAAAAGCTAGACACAACAAAAACTAGAAACCCAAACTTAACAGATACTCCTTATGTTGAGGCTTCTCCCGTCCAGACAGTTTTCCAGACACCAACAGCCAGTTCAACAAGCAGGATGACAGATTCTTCCTCAGCAGCATCAGGAGAACTCCAAACATCGTATCAAGAGACTTCATCTGTAACTGTTGAATTAGCATCATTCCTAACTTCTGGAACTTCAGAATCCATGGCATCCACACAAAGCAATGATGCAATGTCACCAAACTCAAACCAGGCTACCACGTACACCGCAATGACCATCAAAACAACAGCCTCTGAAAATATAACAGAGAACATCTCAGCATCTTCTGTCTTATCCACAATTTCACCTTCATCCACGACTGCCAAATCTTCAAAGTCGATTCCTCAAGATCACACGAGTCATGGGGTAACTGCACCCTCCACTACACCAGTAACCACTGATATGCTTGGGTCTGCAACCATGACTTCAAAATCTCCATCAGTAACACAATTTCAACAGGTGAACAGGCAACCAACAAATCAGACACTGGAATCAGACCACTCCCCTGTGCCCACTACTCTAGAGGAAACGCTCAGCAGCACTTCCAGAGATTCAACAACATCTATTTCTCTGGGACACAAAAACTCAATTGTTTCAACCAGTCAATCCATAGCACCTGACACCAGTATCTCTCTGTCTGCTCAATTACTGCAAACAACTTCAGTCCCAATTGACAGTGTAAGCTTTACTTCAAATTCAGGCAATAATTCTATTTCATCAAGTACGGCAGCTGCAACTCCAACTCTAACACCCACAGATTCTAGCAGCTCTGCACATTTTGAATCAAAAGACAATAGTTCTGTCACATTACAATCAGTCATTGTGACATCTCAATCAATCAGTATTCCAACTGATTCCAGCACTGAACTATCAAAGTTTACATCTACAGAAACATCTACAGAGTCATTGGTTGGTGGCCAAACAGCCAACAGATCTGTGATTCAAGATTCTGAGACAAGCACAGGACCTGCAACATTTGCTTTGTCATCATCTGAATCATTGCCTACCACCACTCATGCACCTGCTACAATAAGTGCAGCAGATACTCCAACAGTGTCTGCAAGTGCAAGTTTAATTTCGTCAAATACAATCATTAGCACAAACTTTGATTACTCAAGTGAATCTGGCTACATTACTAACAAAGTGACTGTCACAGCTACATCCATTTCAGAAGACACTGGACATTTTTCTGGAGTAAACTCTCATGGAATATTAGAGACCACAACTGGCAATGTCTTACCAAATTTTAATTTAGCAGTTGACTCTTTTACAACAAATCCTGTTTCTCTCACCAACAGTACTGTAACTGCTCAGTCAGTGCAAAATATTTCAGGCCGAAATCAGACTGTAACCCAGAATCCAAATGTCAGCACAATTGTTGCGGCATCATCAACTCAAACAGCACCAATCCCTATAGATTTCAGCACCACCCCAACCCCATCACTTAACCAGGGCACTGAAGTAATGTTGTCTAAACCCACAGAAGTAAGTGGTCAGTCAAGAAGCAGCACCAATACCATGGAGACTACCAAAAGGACAAGATACTCAACCCCTGAGAGTCTTGAAGCATCCTCTTTGTCACCAACAACTTCACCATTTATTACCTCTCATAAACCTCCTCCCACAACAACAACAGATCCTCTTATTAGTCCAGTTTCACTGTCATCAAACACTGGCATTACACCCAATGTAGAGCAAAAAACTGTTGCTGAAGCTTATGAAACTTCAGGCATGGTTTTAACATCACCGGTCACTTCTTCTTCAACTTCTTCCACAGGCTCCAACTTATCCATTTACAATGCAACAGCACTATCAAAGCCCACAACTACTTTAATCATTTCAGATCCAGTTTCAGAGGTAATCACAGGCAATAGACCTCCCACAAATGATTCAGTAACCAAAGTTCCATACATATCCACAGTATCAGCTAATGAACTAATGCTTTCGTCAACGATTGTCAACACAAACACTGCACAATCAATGATACCTAACCACAACAAGGGTGGGACTCAGTCCGACACTTTAAACTCTAATTCAACTATTGCTACTGATACAGAGACAGGCTCAACAGTCCAGACATCCTCACCTAAGTCACTGCAAACAAGCACAGTTATGTCACCTAATACAACAAATGGTGTCCCTCTCCAAACCACTGCCCCCACAACCCATGAAACTTCAACCATGTCTGTGATATTAAAGATTACTTCAGCTTCTTCCTCTGCCTCTAGTTTAAACTCACTAATTTCAAACCAAGCATTGTTGATTACCTCAGGCCTCAAACCTACCAGGAATAATTCAGTAACTAATGTCTCTGAAGTGAAAACCTCATCAATTAATGAAATATCACTGGGCCATACTACACAACCTCTACCCTCAGTGATAACAAAGACAAATGCAGAAACAACAAATATGGTGTCCTCCATAAATGAAGAAGCCCCAACAATATCCATTAAAACATCTGCTATGTCCATGCAACTTTTGACTGACAAAAAATACCTAAATTCTGTAAATGGTACTGGCAACATAATTAACAACATAACTGTCACAACTACATCAGAAGACATGTTTTCTACAATCACTGGTGCTTCCACATCCCTGGACCAAAGAGTGACATTGTCAGAGAGCACTGGAACACTGGCACCTAATCCCAACCATCTTTTGACCAGCAATAAAGACCTAAATTCTGTAAACAGTACTGGCATTATTATTAACAATATATCTGTCACAACATCTACATCAGAAGACATGTTTTCTACAATCACCGGTGTCACCTCATCAAATGAACAAATAGTGAAGTCATCAGAGAGTACTGGTACAAAGGTACCTGACCCCAACTATGGTGGCATTCCATCAGACATAAGTACCAGTACCATAGGAGCCATCCAAATGACAAATGCAGGAGCTATCACACATGGAAACCCTGAGAGCACAGTTGAGAATGTTTCACCAACTTCTACCTTATCATTTACCTCATTTTCCACTATTTCACCTTTGACCACAACTGTTTTATCTACATCCACATCTTTTACACCAAATTCAAAATCACCCATTTCAACACCCATGGCTAAAATTTCTGTAGAATCTGATACTCCAAATGTGGCAATTTCTGAATTCAATGGACTGGCAGTGACTGACCAATCACAAACAAGATCAACACTTACATCTAATTCTTTTGAAGATGGATTCACAGCTTATTCCAGCAGTCAGTCCTCAGTCTCTCCCACAAGTACTGCAACAACTGCAACTACTGAATCAGTCAAAACAGAATCAATGCAAATGTCTTCCTTTTCTCACCTTTTTAATACAGACAGTACTAAAGTGAGTACATCAAATATGACACCGACAACAACTCAAACATCATTCAGGGATAATATTTCTTCTACCCTATCATTACCCCATATACAGTCATTAACTGATCCAACTGCATCATCGCTACAACCCCTTACCCTTAATACACAAAACTTTAGTGACTTTGCACCAACTAAGCACCAATTGACATCCTCACAGAGCACTGCTGCACAGTTGCCTGATATAAACCTGACAAGTGAAACTTCCATTCCAGTCAACCCATCTGACATGACATCCAGAAGACCAGCACAATATTCTCCAGTGCTTACAATGGTCCAAACATCCTCAGCAAATAATGCCCCTCTCCAAACAACTTCACCCATCCCTATCGCATTTTCAACTACACCCCTGGGTAATACACCTTCAGCAGTTCCAGTAAGGATAACACCTTCATCTACACTCCAAAGTGCAACAGATTCGGTTACACCCAAAAGTACTGACAGTTTTATGCCTTCAGTTCTATCAGAAGGAACTACTTCTTTAGCTGGAACAATAAACAGTGGTACATCATCAATAACATTGCTAACTACAGCTCAAAGTACACAAACAACCACTGCATTCTCAGTTACACCAACAGATACTATGCCTTCCATCACTGCTTCAGGTACATCTCAAGGATCCACAATTTCAGATAACACAGGGACAGGTGGATCGGTAGACACTACACCTTTAGGTACACCAATGAACACATTTTCAAATGCACCGATAGGTACTGCGCCATCATTCACACAATTCCATAGCACACCCTCAGCTACACCACAAACTAGTAGCCAAGACAGTGAAATTACACCAGTTTCCACGGTCACATCAGTCTCAACATTGTCATGGAATCCGCCAATACATGCCACCTCCCAGACAGATAATATATCTCTGACACCACCAATTTCCTCTTCTCTTGGTATAAACACTGCAAGCCCTCCAACTGAACATTCTGAAAACTTCCCCACCACATCAGGAAATACTTCTGCAGAAGAGACTGTATCACCAGCATTTGCAACATCTCAAACTAACATAAAAGAGACAACCAACCCAACAATGGATGTTCTGACTGCCACTATAAAAAGTACCCTCCAACAGTTAAATATGGCAACTTCAGTTTTACCAGAAGTGACTGGACCAAGGACCAGTGTGTTGTCAGATATACCCCGAATGGAAACATCTGTACTTACTGCTTCAGTTGAAACAGATGTTTCAACACAAATGATACCTTCAGAAAACACATCAGTTACTCCTATCACTTCAGAAAACCTGACTGTATCTGTCAAATCAAGAAACACCTATTCAGATCAGACAACTAATGAAGCATCAACCTCAGATCTACTTTCTACCTCTGCACTATCAAATGCAACAACTAAAATTGTTAATTCATTAGCATTTACAAGCTCTGTAAGCACTTCACTAGACACAAGCAGACTTGGGTCATCCCCAACAAACAGACAGTCCACAAGTTCACTTATGAATGCAACCTCGAAGCGAACACTTGCTCTAGATTCAGCATCGACAAACTCTTCGCATTCCATATTCAACACCCAAGATATGATGCTGGCAGGACAGACAACTTCTTTAACATCAATAAACAACATTACTGTAGAATACTCCACTTCTTCTTCCCAAAGGCCATCATCCCATTTCTCGAGGCCAACTGAATCTTCTTCTCCAATGTCAAATCACACACTATCTATCATGACAGAATCTAAGGATACATATAGATCTCAAACAAACAAGAACACAGACACCACTGTCTTAAATACTTCCCCGAATCCTTTTCCAAACAGTACTGAACAGAAAACACAACCAACACCAGATCCACTGAGCAGAGGCTCTATTGTGTTCTTCACTGAAAATGCCAAAGTGCCACTGTTTAAAGCTATCACTTTTCATCATCCTGTTATGCACAGTGGCACTTTCATGGCTAAAAAGTTTCACAATCAGACAACAAACTGAACCAGCACTTACATGGACCACACAGGAAATGTATGATACAGCCAAGCAGCCAAAAGCCAAAGAAAAACACTAGTTGAAACCACAGATTTTGGACAATGAACATAAAACGAACAAAAACTGTTTTAATGCCCGAGTGACGCTTGGCTGGGGAGTAGGGATTGGGGCACTGAGGAAGTTCTTGTCATTCCTAAAGCATTCAAACTATTCACTCAGCACTAAGATGGTGTGCAAGACAGAGAATTTCCTAAAGTGTCTAAAAAGTAAGTAAAGTTTACTAAACTAAACAGTTTTTTGTGTACATTACTGTATTTTACCTTAGTTGACTTAATATGTATATTCATATAATAAACGGGGGTGAAATGTATTTATATTGTCTTGAACATCAATGCAGAGTGTACAATTGATGTAGACACTTCTACAACAAATATATGATATGCTTTTTTATGCTACTACTTGTAACTTGTAAAAATTATTTTGCTCAGAAAATGAAACGTATGTTGCCATATGCATTGGCCGCTGCACCCATTTCTAACATGTGAATATAAATAAATGAATAAAATTCAGGAAATAATCAAATGTTTTTTTTAATTACTACTGGGCATTCTGTTGCTTTGCAAGCTTAGAATTATTATCCTACAGAACCTTTATGCAAGTTCACATATAATGAAGCTGCACTATGTAAGATTTTTTAAAAAATAAGTAAGGAGAAAAAATGTAGATGGATCTGATGAAGATAATGTGAGAATAGTAGATAGTTATTTTTCATTCTCAGAAGACACATTCATTATCAAGTTTTTGTTACTTTTTCAATGTGCTCATATCAGATTCATCCACTCAGTGAAGGGGTCCAAAGCGCAACTGTTACGTATTTACTACGTAGCAATTACATATTCACTAGAGAAGTCTCCAAATCCCTAAGTCTTACAAAGTATAGCTTATCTAAATAGTTAGCTCAATTACTTGACATGAATGACAGAATGTTACATGAACACATTAAGTAAGAGTCACGTTTCACTCCAGCAATCCAACTTACAAAATTATGGAAGAAGTAGAAGAGCTTAACTTAAATGACTTTTGTATGTACTTATTGTAATTTATGCTGTATATTTGTTTCGTTTTTCAAAATCTTTAGTTATTACTATTATTATTATTATTTAGTTATTTAGTTATTAAGTTATTACTTTGAAAGTTTTTACAGATACCTTGACCACTCATGCTAATATGGTTAACAATAAATTGAAACCTGTCTTAAACTCTAAGATCTCAAAACACTTTTGCCTCTACAAAAAAGTGCTCTTCTTTACAGCCTCTTTAATCATATTTCATTAAGTTTTATATTCTTCCATTTGTTTAAGATCACATGGCAATTTAACATTGAATAAAAATAGTGTGAGCTTAACAATAGAAAAAATGTCAGCAATGACAGACAACACCCTGTTTAATGCCTTCAAAGATGAACTGATAAAGAAATGAACAGAGAATGTGGCTGCTAGATAATTTGATAAATACATGACTACTGTCATAACGAAACCTCATATGTCAAAAAAAGTAAAAAGAAGGAAATATAGTCACTTTTTTATTGTAGGTAATTTTGGAACAGTTCTATTTGTCTATTCATCATGATATTTTCACACAATGTAAAGAGCAGCAGGCATTTTATATGTAAAAAAAAAAGAAAGAAAAAGAATGAAAAAAAACACAGAAAGGTAACCTTTAATTTCAACAGTTTATTTTCAAAACTTAAATGATGTGAGAAATCCTAATAGCCAGGTAAACTTTTCTTTCAGACTTAATTTACAAATAAGATGAGGTGTTCTAAGATTTCCTGATGAACATATTGTCGCTGTCCAAAGAAAAATCTCCAAAATGGTCACTTTACAGGAAAGGCCAAAACCATTCTTACTTTCAATGTAAGTCAATGTGAATATATTTTATTGCAAGTAATTTTAAAGCATTGCTATCAGTCCATTTTTCATGAAATTTCCACATGATGTAAAGGAGAGCCACTGTGTCCAAATGATGCAGAAAATTAAAAATCAACAAAATGAAGATACATGTTTTTCTTTGGACAGCGACAATATGTTTTAGATTTTCACTTGTGAGTTCACACAATCTAAGTTCTTATTGGGTTTGACATGAGACTTGGATGACAATGAAATGCTATTGTGCAATTGCAACATACCCCACAGCTATATTTTTAGACATTACTTCTTTCAGTTGTACAAGATGGAATGCGTCATCAATTCACCTGCCAAAAATGCCTTTCAACTGAAACAAAGGACAATGCAAAAAATGTGGCTAGACTCTGCATGACAGTAGATGACTGAAGAATATGAATGGCCAGTATTGAGAAATATGTCAAAGAGACCATACTCAGACACGTCACTTTCATCAGGACTTATAAGTAAGCCCACACAAGCATTGCTTTACACATTTGCATTACGGGACTATTGGGCTACCCTGCTGTAGAGGACTATGATTTGACAGACATCATACAAACACACTACATCACAATTCAGCTACTTCACAAATAGTGATCGAAGCTGACTTCACGAAGGAATTTGGTAAGTTTGATAACTGAATTTGAGAGTTTGTTAGTAATAATTAATTAGTATTTTATAAATAATAAATAAGTAATGAGTAGTAAGTTATAAGTAATAAATTCAAGTCTGTAAGAATGAGAGATTTTATTTCCTGGTATTAGGTGACATCTGATAATCTCAAAATTAGAATTTTACTAAACCATGTTATTCAAGTCATTAATCCCCTAAACTAATTACAATTGAAAATAATACTAATACTAATAACTAATTCATAAAATAAAGGCAAGTTCTTACAATGAAACAAATGAAGGCAACATGAAAGAGAACATTTTTCTCTCATTTATTATTTAATCGTCTTTCTCAGTCATTACTTCTAATAAGTTTTATCTACCAAGGACCATTTCAACAGGACCATTTCTTTTTAAAGGGTTTTTAAACCTTTAAATAAAAGGGCTGAGGTACTGAAAGACAGTCTTATATTTTATCACTTGCATTCCTAATCTGTAAATATCACATATTTTCCTTCTAATCAGATCTTTTATCTTCCATCAGTAAGGAATTGTTGGCGTTTTAAAAACAATTACACAGAGCGCTCAAGAAGACTTACACCATGTGGAATTAATGCTAAATCAGTTTGTTGTGACACAAATTAAGCTCAGGAAAGTTTTATTTTAACCAGGTGGGGAATCCCTACCACTTCAATTAACAATAACTAATGGTGTTAAATAATGGTAAAATGAAATTACAATACAAAATGTATAAAAGCTTTGGCTGGTTTTTATCTGTATTTCTTTCCTAAATAAACAGATTTATCAATCAGATTATATACCTAAATATTTATATTAGGGGTGGGAATCTCTAGGCACCTCACGATTCGATTAGATTATGATTCAGAGGACTGCGATGCAATTATAAAATGATTAACGATGCATCTTGATTTCTACAGAATTTCTGTTTTCTCACTGTGTGAAGACTTGGAACTTTTAAAGCAAAGTGTAATAGTCCATAATGAATTTACTTCCAATATCTTTTATTAATAAACCAAACAGAAGCGATGTGGCAAGTCAACTAGAAGGCTCTCATTCACTGCGCTTGTTTGGAGCACATGAGACGCTGGCTGTCACTCATCTGTGATAAAATGCGCAGTTACGGTGAAATAAAATCCTGTGACAATGGGTGTCCACACAGCAGATTACAGATATTCTACCCGTTTTCTTTAGTGATTTTATAACTCCGGTTTTGGTCTCTTTGTAGAGTGTGGGGGGGTCACTGTGTCAGTAAAATATCTTTGAGACCGGACGCTGTATCTCGGCTCCAAAGTGTACAACATAACGCAAAAGCCCTGGTTCTCAACGACTCAGAATGGACGCAAATCCTTGACAATAAAAGTTGTGATAGAGTTTGTAGTTTGCTTCGTTCTTTGGGTTGGGTGGAAGTTTTGACATCGTTTGCTTGATGGTCCTCTGGTTGGCAACAAGTACAACCGGACGAAAAATGGGTGGAAACATGTAATATGGTTTTCCCCCTCAACTGCTTAGAAGCCAAAGAGCTTCCATACACTAGCTCAAGGGTCGGCAACCTGCGGCTCTTTTACTGGCCGAATGCAGCTCCACAGCAGAATTCGATTTGTAGGTAAAAATAAAATGATCCTCCTTTGCAGTAAAATAAAGCTCTGCTAATCATTCAAACACAGTTTTAACAATAAATGATCTTAAACGCTGGAGTTAATATAGCCTATAACCGCTAGTTCACCTAGCTAGTAGCTAATGAAAAGGCAAAGAGAAAGATTTAAGACGAACATCAATAATTTGGAGATGAATAGATGTTTATAATCACTCTAGCTGGTTTCCTGATATGTTTAATCTACAATGAGAAACTGTTAAACACCAAAAAAGTGAAGCCGAAGTCAGCGTCTCATTCACCAGCCTCTTGTTTGAATTTGCGTGTTTCACCTTAAATGGTGCAGCAGTTACATTCTGGCGCCTCAGGCACTATTTAAGGTGGAATGGGAAAGTTGAACGAGAAGCTGTAGAACGAGAAGCGGCTTCAGCCTCATAAAAAGTAGAACATTGAGAGACATTTTACAAGGAACTGTTCTACTTTTGTGGAAAAGTTTTCAGTTGGTGATGCAAGAAAAGCGGCTACAGCTAAGCTAAAGCTTAAAGCAGAGTAAAGTAGCTAAGTCTGCATTTTTGTTTGTATTATAGCCTTTTAGCACGTACTGAGACACATGTAGAGCCAAGATGGTAAAATGGACTTAAAATGTTATGGCTCCAAAGGGGGGTTTGATTTTTGTTGAAAGGACAAAATGACTCTTATTAACATTTGGGTTGCGACCCCTGCACTAGCTTTTAATGTAGTGTGCCGCCACAGACTGTCCAGGCACTGCACTTCTGCACTTTGCAAAGTTCCGCCTTTTGCATTCCGTCAACATTGCGTTATCAATTAAAATTTAGAAAATCGTTTTTTGATATTTGTAAATTAATTCAGAATTGCCCACGTCCGCATCGCAATCCATCTAAGAATCGATTTTTTCCCCACCCCTAATTTATATACAGTATGTCCATTAACAACCATCTCACATGTATCCAGAGATACTGTTGCAGAAGCTGAAATGGTTTAAAATAAGAGATCAAAACAAATGATTAAACAAAGGAAAATGTAATGAATAATAGCTATTATAGACCTGTATATATTTGAGTTATATCTAAACCTAATTTATTATATTATATTATATTATATTATATTGTGATTACAGTTATAAGTGATGCCTAGAATATTACATGCTAACACACAATCTCCTAAAGGTGTTATTTGAAACAATCAAGATGAATGGAAAAACATTGACTGCAGTGTGCATGTTAATGGGTAAGTGTAAAAACAAATTACCATCTTCACCAAAAGTTTACTTATAGTAAGTTTTTCATTTGAACTGGTTAAAACTATTCTCCAAAATAACATTGCTCTCGAATGTGCTTCCCTTAAAACAGCCACAATAAACTGTGTTATAACACAAGACAACACAACTACAGCTAACACAGAATCAGTAACAAATGTCACAAATTTCAATGAGGAATCAACTACAGCTTTAGCAGGGTCTACAACAGATTATATAATGGAGTCAAATACTACTGCAAATACTGAATCAATTACAACAGTAACAACAGAATCAGCTGGTACAGCTGTTGAATCAACTACAGCTTTTACAACAGAATCAACAGCAGTTTATATTGTGGAAACAAGTACTACTGCAAGTGTTACCTCAATAACAGAACCCAGCACAGAACCTACAACAGTTCTTACCATGGAAACAAGTAATGCTGCAACTGTTGAAACTACAGAACCTAACACAGAATCAAGCACAGAACCTACAACAGTTACCACAATGGAATCAAGTCCTGGAACGGTTGAATCAACTACAGAACCTACAACAGAATCAACCACAGAACCTATGACAGTTACAACCATGCAATCAAGTACTGCTGTAACTGTTGAATCAACTACAGAACCTAGCACAGAATCAGCTACAGAACCTACAACAGAATCAACAGCAGAACTCACAACAGTTACAACAATGGAATCAAGTACTGCTGTACCTGTTGAATCAACTACAGAACCAACAACAGTTATCACCTTGGAAACAAGTAATGTTGTAACTGTTGAATCAACTACAGAACCTAGCACAGAATCAACTACAGAACTTGCAACAGTTACAACAATAGAATCAAGTACTGCTGTGCCTGTTGAATCAACTACAGAACCTACAACAGAATCAACAGCAGAACCCACAACAGTTACAACAATGGAATCAAGTACTGCTGTACCTGTTGAATCAACTATAGAAACCACAACAGTTATCACCATGGAAGCAAGTACTGTTGCAACTGTCGAATCAACTACAGAACCTAGCACAGAATCAACTACAGAACTTGCAACAGTTACAACAATGGAATCAAGTACTGCTGTGCCTGTTGAATCAACTACAGAACCTACAACAGAATCAACAGCAGAACCCACAACAGTTACAACAATGGAATCAAGTACTGCTGTACCTGTTGAATCAACTACAGAACCCACAACAGTTATCACCATGGAAAGAAGTACTGTTGCAACTGTTGAATCAACGTCAGAAACTATAACAGAATCAACCACAGAACCTACAACAGTGAACTCCATGGAAACAAGTACTGCTGTAACTGTTGAATCAACTACAGAACCTAGCACTGAATCAACTACAGAACCTACAACAGTTACAACAATGGAAACAAGCACTGCTGCACCTATTGAATCAACTACAGAATCGACAACAGTTACAACAATGGAATCAAGCACTGCTGCACCTACTGAATCAAGTACAGAACCTACGACAGAACAAACCACTGAAACTACAACAGTTACAACCATGGAATCAAGTACTGCTGTACCTACTGAATCAACTACAGAACCTACAACAGTTATCACCTTGGAATCGAGTACTGCTGTACCTGTTGAATCAACTACAGAACCTACAACAGTTATCACCTTGGAAACAAGTACTGTTGTAACTGTTGAATCAACTACAGAACCTAACACAGAATCATCTACAGATCTTGCAACAGTTACAACAATGGAATCAAGTACTGCTGTGCCTGTTGAATCAACTACAGAACCTACAACAGTTACAACCATGGAGTCAAGCACTGCTGCACCTATTGAATCAACTACAGAACCTACGACAGAACAAACCACTGAAACTACAACAGTTACAACAGTGGAATCAAGTACTGGTTTACCTGTTGAATCAACTACAGAACCTACAACAGTTATCACCTTGGAAACAAGTACTGCTGTAACTGTTGAATCAACTACAGAACCTAGCACTGAATCAACTACAGATCTTACAACAGTTACAACCATGGAATCAAGCACTGCTGCACCTATTGAATCAACCACAGAACCTACAACAGTTACAACCATGGAATCAAGCACTGCTGCACCTACTGAATCGAGTACAGAACATATGACAGAACAAACCACTGAAACTACAACAGTTTCCACAATAGAATCAAGTACTGGTGTACCTACTGAATCAACTACAGAACCTACAACAGTTACAACCATGGAATCAAGCACTGCTGTAACTTTTGAATCAACTACAGAACCTACAACAGTTACAACCATGGAATCAAGCACTGCTGCACCTACTGAATCAACTACAGAACCTTCGACAGAACAAACATCTGAAACTACAACCGTTACAATAATGGAATCAAGTACTGCTCTACCTGTTGAATCAACTACAGAAACTACAACAGTTACAACCATGGAATCAAGCACTGCTGCACCTACTGAATCAACTACAGAGCCTGGCACTGAATCAACTACAGATGTTACAACAGTTATGACGCCGGAATCAAGTACTGCTGTGCCTATTGAATCAACTACAGAACCTACAACAGTTACAACCATGGAATCAAGCACTGCTGCACCTACTGAATCAACTACAGAACCTATGACAGTTACAACCATGGAATCAAGCACTGCTGCACCTACTGAATCAACTACAGAACCTACGACAGAACAAACCACTGAAACTACAACAGTTACAACAATGGGATCTACAAGAGTTACAACCATGGAATCAAGCACCGCTGCACCTACTGAATCAAGTACAGAACCTATGACACAACAAACTACAGAACAAACCACTGAATCTACAGCAGTTACCACAATGGGATCAAGTACTGCTGTAACTGTTGAATCAACTATAGAACCTATAACAGTTACAACCATGGAATCAAGCACTGCTGTACCTGTTGAATCAACTACAGAACCTACAACAGTTACAACCATGGAATCAAGCACTGCTGCACCTACTGAATCAACTGCAGAACCTACAACAGTTACAACCATGGAATCAAGCACTGCTGCACCTACTGAATCAAGTACAGAACCTACGACAGAACCAACCACAGAAACTACAACAATTACAACAATGGAATCAAGTACTGCTGTACCGGTTGAATCAACAACAGAACCTACAACAGTTACAACCATGGAATCAAGTACTGCTGTACCTTTTGAATCAACTACAGAACCTACAACAGAATTAACAGCAGAACCAACAACAGTTACAACAATAGAATCAAGTACTGCTGTACCGGTTGAATCAACTACAGAACCCACAACAGTTATCACCATGGAAACAAGTACTGTTGCAACTGTTGAATCAACTTCAGAAACTAGAACAGAATCAACTACAGAACCTACAACAGTTACAACCATGGAATCAAGCACTGCTGCACCTACTGAATCAACTACAGAACCTTCGACAGAACAAACATCTGAAACTACAACAGTTACAACCATGGAATCAAGTACTGCTCTACCTGTTGAATCAACTACAGAAACTACAACATTTACAACCATGGAATCAAGCACTGCTGCACCTATTGAATCAACTACAGAACCTACAACAGTTACAATCATGGAATCAAGCACTGCTGCACCTATTGAATCAACTACAGAACCTACAAGAGTTACAACCATGGAATCAAGCACTGCTGTACCTGTTGAATCAACTACAGAACCTACAACAGTTACATCCATGGAATCAAGCACCGCTGCACCTACTGAATCAAGTACAGAACCTATGACAGAACAAACTACAGAACAAACCACTGAATCTACAACAGTTACCACAATGGGATCAAGTACTGCTGTACCTGTTGAATCAACTACAGAACCTATAACAGTTACAACCATGGAATCAAGCACTGCTGTACCTGTTGAATCAACTACAGAACCTACAACAGTTACAACCATAGAATCAAGCACTGCTGCACCTACTGAATCAACTGCAGAACCTACAACAGTTACAACCATGGAATCAAGCACTGCTGCACCTACTGAATCAAGTACAGAACCTACGACAGAACCAACCACAGAAACTACAACAATTACAACAATGGAATCAAGTACTGCTGTACCTGTTGAATCAACAACAGAACCTACAACAGTTACAACAATGGAATCAAGTACTGCTGTACCTTTTGAATCAACTACAGAACCTACAACAGAATTAACAGCAGACCCAACAACAGTTACAACAATAGAATCAAGTACTGCTGTACCTGTTGAATCAACTACAGAACCCACAACAGTTATCACCATGGAAACAAGTACTGTTGCAACTGTTGAATCAACTTCAGAAACTAGAACAGAATCAACTACAGAACCTACAACAGTTACAACCATGGAATCAAGCACTGCTGTAACTTTTGAATCAACTACAGAACCTACAACAGTTACAACCATGGAATCAAGCACTGCTGCACCTACTGAATCAACTACAGAACCTTCGACAGAACAAACATCTGAAACTACAACCGTTACAATAATGGAATCAAGTACTGCTCTACCTGTTGAATCAACTACAGAAACTACAACAGTTACAACCATGGAATCAAGCACTGCTGCACCTACTGAATCAACTACAGAGCCTGGCACTGAATCAACTACAGATGTTACAACAGTTATGACGCCGGAATCAAGTACTGCTGTGCCTATTGAATCAACTACAGAACCTACAACAGTTACAACCATGGAATCAAGCACTGCTGCACCTACTGAATCAACTACAGAACCTATGACAGTTACAACCATGGAATCAAGCACTGCTGCACCTACTGAATCAACTACAGAACCTACGACAGAACAAACCACTGAAACTACAACAGTTACAACAATGGGATCTACAAGAGTTACAACCATGGAATCAAGCACCGCTGTACCTACTGAATCAACTACAGAACCTATGACACAACAAACTACAGAACAAACCACTGAATCTACAGCAGTTACCACAATGGGATCAAGTACTGCTGTAACTGTTGAATCAACTATAGAACCTATAACAGTTACAACCATGGAATCAAGTACTGCTGTACCTGTTGAATCAACTACAGAACCTACAACAGTTACAACCATGGAATCAAGCACTGCTGCACCTACTGAATCAACTGCAGAACCTACAACAGTTACAACCATGGAATCAAGCACTGCTGCACCTACTGAATCAAGTACAGAACCTACGACAGAACCAACCACAGAAACTACAACAATTACAACAATGGAATCAAGTACTGCTGTACCGGTTGAATCAACAACAGAACCTACAACAGTTACAACCATGGAATCAAGTACTGCTGTACCTTTTGAATCAACTACAGAACCTACAACAGAATTAACAGCAGAACCAACAACAGTTACAACAATAGAATCAAGTACTGCTGTACCGGTTGAATCAACTACAGAACCCACAACAGTTATCACCATGGAAACAAGTACTGTTGCAACTGTTGAATCAACTTCAGAAACTAGAACAGAATCAACTACAGAACCTACAACAGTTACAACCATGGAATCAAGCACTGCTGCACCTACTGAATCAACTACAGAACCTTCGACAGAACAAACATCTGAAACTACAACAGTTACAACCATGGAATCAAGTACTGCTCTACCTGTTGAATCAACTACAGAAACTACAACAGTTACAACCATGGAATCAAGCACTGCTGCACCTATTGAATCAACTACAGAACCTACAACAGTTACAATCATGGAATCAAGCACTGCTGCACCTATTGAATCAACTACAGAACCTACAAGAGTTACAACCATGGAATCAAGCACTGCTGTACCTGTTGAATCAACTACAGAACCTACAACAGTTACATCCATGGAATCAAGCACCGCTGCACCTACTGAATCAAGTACAGAACCTATGACAGAACAAACTACAGAACAAACCACTGAATCTACAACAGTTACCACAATGGGATCAAGTACTGCTGTACCTGTTGAATCAACTACAGAACCTATAACAGTTACAACCATGGAATCAAGCACTGCTGTACCTGTTGAATCAACTACAGAACCTACAACAGTTACAACCATAGAATCAAGCACTGCTGCACCTACTGAATCAACTGCAGAACCTACAACAGTTACAACCATGGAATCAAGCACTGCTGCACCTACTGAATCAAGTACAGAACCTACGACAGAACCAACCACAGAAACTACAACAATTACAACAATGGAATCAAGTACTGCTGTACCTGTTGAATCAACAACAGAACCTACAACAGTTACAACAATGGAATCAAGTACTGCTGTACCTTTTGAATCAACTACAGAACCTACAACAGAATTAACAGCAGAACCAACAACAGTTACAACAATAGAATCAAGTACTGCTGTACCTGTTGAATCAACTACAGAACCCACAACAGTTATCACCATGGAAACAAGTACTGTTGCAACTGTTGAATCAACTTCAGAAACTAGAACAGAATCAACTACAGAACCTACAACAGTTACAACCATGGAATCAAGCACTGCTGTAACTTTTGAATCAACTACAGAACCTACAACAGTTACAACCATGGAATCAAGCACTGCTGCACCTACTGAATCAACTACAGAACCTTCGACAGAACAAACATCTGAAACTACAACCGTTACAATAATGGAATCAAGTACTGCTGTACCTGTTGAATCAACTACAGAAACTACAACAGTTACAACCATGGAATCAAGCACTGCTGCACCTATTGAATCAACAACAGAACCTACAACAGTTACAATCATGGAATCAAGCACTGCTACACCTATTGAATCAACTACAGAACCTACAAGAGTTACAACCATGGAATCAAGCACTGCTGTACCTGTTGAATCAACTACAGAACCTACAACAGTTACATCCATGGAATCAAGCACCGCTGCACCTACTGAATCAAGTACAGAACCTATGACAGAACAAACTACAGAACAAACCACTGAATCTACAACAGTTACCACAATGGGATCAAGTACTGCTGTACCTGTTGAATCAACTACAGAACCTATAACAGTTACAACCATGGAATCAAGCACTGCTGTACCTGTTGAATCAACTACAGAACCTACAACAGTTACAACCATGGAATCAAGCACTGCTGCACCTACTGAATCAACTACAGAACCTACAATAGTTACAACCATGGAATCAAGCACTGCTGCACCTACTGAATCAAGTACAGAACCTACGACAGAACCAACCACAGAAACTACAACAATTACAACAATGGAATCAAGTACTGCTGTACCTGTTGAATCAACAACAGAACCTACAACAGTTACAACCATGGAATCAAGTACTGCTGTACCTTTTGAATCAACTACAGAACCTACAACAGAATTAACAGCAGAACCAACAACAGTTACAACAATAGAATCAAGTACTGCTGTACTGGTTGAATCAACTACAGAACCCACAACAGTTATCACCATGGAAACAAGTACTGTTGCAACTGTTGAATCAACTTCAGAAACTAGAACAGAATCAACTACAGAACCTATGACACTTACGACAATGGAATCAAGTACTGCTGTACCTGTTGAACCAACCACAGAACCTACAACAGTTACAACCATGGAATCAAGCACTGCTGCACCTACTGAATCAAGTACAGAACCTACAACAGTTACAACCATGGAATCAAGCACTGCTGCACCTACTGAATCAACTACAGAACCTACGACAGAACAAACCACTGAAACTACAACAGTTACAACCATGGAATCAAGTACTGCTGTACCTACTGAATCAACTACAGAACCTACAACAGTTATCACCTTGGAATCGAGTACTGCTGTAACTGTTGAATCAACTACAGAACTTACAACAGTTACAACCATGGAATCAAGCACTGCTGTAACTTTTGAATCAACTACAGAACCTACAACAGTTACAACCATGGAATCAAGCACTGCTGTATCTGTTGAATCAACTACAAAACCTTCAACAGTTACAACCATGGAATCAAGCACTGCTGCACCTATTGAATCAACTACAGAACCTACAACAGTTACATCCATGGAATCAAGCACTGCTGCACCTACTGAATCAAGTACAGAACGTATGACACAACAAACTACAGAACAAACCACTGAATCTACAGCAGTTACCACAATGGGATCAAGTACTGCTGTACGTGTTGAATCAACTACAGAACCTATAACAGTTACAACCATGGAATCAAGCACTGCTGTACCTGTTGAATCAACTACAGAACCTACAACAGTTACAACCATGGAATCAAGCACTGCTGCACCTACTGAATCAACTGCAGAACCTACAACAGTTACAACCATGGAATCAAGCACAGCTGCACCTACTGAAGCAAGTACAGAACCTACGACAGAACCAACCACAGAAACTACAACAATTACAACAATGGAATCAAGTACTGCTGTACCTGTTGAATCAACAACAGAACCTACAACAGTTACAACCATGGAATCAAGTACTGCTGTACCTTTTGAATCAACTACAGAACGTACAACAGAATTAACAGCAGAACCAACAACAGTTACAACAATAGAATCAAGTACTGCTGTACCGGTTGAATCAACTACAGAACCCACAACAGTTATCACCATGGAAACAAGTACTGTTGCAACTGTTGAATCAACTTCAGAAACTAGAACAGAATCAACTACAGAACCTATGACACTTACGACAATGGAATCAAGTACTGCTGTACCTGTTGAATCAACCACAGAACCTACAACAGTTATCACCATGGAATCAAGCACTGCTGCACCTACTGAATCAAGTACAGAACCTACGATAAGCATTTTCTACCCTTATTCGACAAAATTTCTTTTTCCTTTGTTTCAAAGTCCTATTCTTGAGCTCTCTATTTTTCTGTCAACCTTCCACAGCTGTCTCTACAAGCACAGTGCAACTTATTATACAGCAAATTAGCTTTACCACCAATGAAGAATTTTTTTCAGACCTATTAAACCCATCTTCACAAGCCTTCATCTCTAGAGTAGCACGTGTGAAATCAGAGGTCAGTACATTGTGTTGTAAAATATACGTAATTCTTTGTTATTACATTACTTTAACGACTAAGTAAAAATAATGTACTGTAATGTACAGATAAGTGTGATAATGAGCGTTTATTTGTTTTGTTTTTTTTTTTTTTTTTTTAACAGTTTCAACCAGCATTTCAGGCAGCATTTATCAACTTCTTTGGGCTAACAGTAAATAGCTTCAGGTGAGCATCAAGTATATTAATTCTGCATTCTCAATTTTAAATTCCATTAAATTCCCAATATATATATATATATATATATATATATATATATATATTATGATAAATGATCTTTTTAAATCTGTGTTTGTCTGCATAGGGCTGGATCGATTATCACAGACATGAATTTACAATTCCTTGATCGTGGAAGTCTGCCCAATGCTACTACAGTCATTAATACTGTGCTCAATGCAAATACTACTTTTAACATTACAAGTGTTAATAGTAAGTACAACACACTATATGCAACTAGCAGGCTTACTTAGTCAGAACCATAACAAACTAGCAGAAACACACGTAAACAAACTGTGCTTGTTATGTTGATTTAATTATTTAGATTCAAGGTGTATCTTAATAAATAAAACAAATGCCTAGAGACTGCCTAACAACTTAATAATTATGTATTTCATGATTTGATTTTTTTTTCCTTTAATCTCAGTGACAGAAACACCTATAGTTTTGACTACAGCTGAACCAACAACTGTATCAATCACTACAGATACAATGACCACCACAACTACAACTCCTCCTGCAACCACAACTCAAGTTTTAGCAACCACAACAACTACTACAAAACCAACAACCACATTTCAGGCTTCAACATCTATCTCTACAACAACAACAACAACTACCACTCTAATAACAACAATACCAGAAACTACTCCAACAACAACAACTACTACTACTACTCTAATAACAACAATACCAGAAACTACAACTACAACAAAAATGCCAACAACTACCACAACAACTGCAACACTACAAACTACTAGTACATCAACTACCCCAACAACTTCTACTACTGCAACAACTCCAACAACAACTACTACTAAAACTACTATAATAACAACTCCAGTAACTACTACAACAACTCCAACAACAACTACTACTAAAACTACTATAATAACAACTCCAGTAACTACTACAACAACTCCAACAACTACTACTACTAAAACTACTATAATAACAACTCCAGTAACTACTACAACAACTCCAACAACTACTACTACTACTACTACAACAACTACAACAACTTCAACAACTACTACTACTCCAACAACAACAACAACAACAACAACAGTAGCAACAACAACACCTGCACCAACGCGTCCACCCCCAGCTGTTGCTCTGCAGATTGTAATCCAGCAAGTGTATGTTGTACAGCTGAGTAACCCTCAGAGTGAGGAATTCCGCGTCCTAGCTGTTACAGTGGCAGCATCAGTGAGTGTCAGATTGTTAATAAATCACTTTATTTTATTTTCTAAAATATTACTACAATTTGACTAGAATACTGAATTTGACACAATATGCTATACTTGACACAGTGTGCTTTCTGAATGGAAAATAGTTCTGAATCTGAAATGATTAGCTATACATTGTAGCACCAAACAAGCTCTGGTTATAGCTCTTACCGCAGCTGTTAAAAAGGCAACTGAGAATTCAGTAAAAGTATAATTATAAATATGTGTAATATTTCTGCATAGTAATGAAATTCTCTTTTCAGTTTGACGTGGTCTACAAAGCACGATATGGGATTCTATTCGTCAGAACTATTGTGCTGGCCTTCAGGTAAGAGTCAGTGCTCATGACTACAGACTGCCTTTCATTTTGACATATACAAGAGAGCACTGTGGTACAGTTTGACCACAACTCAAGTAATGCACACTTCTTATTTTTGTTTTAAGAAAACAAAAGAAAAAACCTTGTTGGACATCACTTAGAGTATTTTACACTATAACTGATTTATATCTTTAGAAACGTTGTAGCTGAAAATCCTAAGTTTTCTTCTCCCCAGACCTGGAACCACTCGTGCACAAAATGTAGAAGCAGATGTCCAGTTGATATTCAACGAGAACTCCACAACGTCCATTCCAACCTCTACTGAAGTCGTGAGCACTCTGAAAGAGGCTATATCAAATCCAAACTCAGGTTTCAACTTAACAGTGGACCCCACCTCCATCACTGTTCTCAGTGAGTTGACCAGATTGGTCTATCTTCCCTCCCACTGAAGAGAGAACTGTTTTCATGTTGTGGTTAGGAAATTTTGCAAATTTATGGTTAATGTTATTGTTCATCGTTGCCATGATCCACAAATTCAGTCAAACTAAAACTTTTGGATTCCCTCATTATCAAATGTGCATTTAACTGTAACATTTATCTGTACTTTTTCCAGGCATTCCACAGACTGTCGCAGTGGTATTACTAACAAATGGCACTTTTGTAACGGCTCTCTCAGACTCCTCCTCAGCTTTATTCACAAACAGGTCGTCAATGATCAAAACGGGAGTAAGTATGAAACTAGTGATTTCTTAGTAACTTTGAGATTTTCTCTGGAAAGAGACCCATACACATTACCTTTGTAACCATTTATTTGTTGTTTATTTTGCAGCTGGAGCCCTTTTTCACAGCTGACTACCCTTCAGCATTCAGCAGCTTGACACTGTCAAATTTCAGGTAATTACTGTTCTCAGTGTTTTCTCACTAATATTAATTAATTCATTTCTTAACATGAACAACACATGAGGTACAACATTCATAATTGCTAATATAAAGTAAACAAGTTACAACATTAAATGTTGTCTAACAAAACTAATGTTTTTGTTAAAATGAAAAACAAATGAGATACTACATTGACAAAGGTTAGCTAATATTTTGGGGGTTTTATTTATTTATTTTGAGTTGGTTCAGCTCATGGACTGTTTTTACTGTTACTCACGTCTCTCACTTTGGAGCTTTAGCATTTTATGTTTGACCAAAATCATTAAAAAAGAGAACAGTGACATACAAACTTCAGTACTCTGCTGATGCTTAATGGACTAAGAAGTTCCACTGCAGTTCTATGAGTTACTTAAAATACCTGATGTAAAGTGAAAACTAGTCATGTCTTAGTAGTGAATTCAAGCAATTGTCATTTGTTTACTTAATATTTACTAACCACTATTTACATAGTAGATCATGTGTTTTTTACTGTTAAAAATACAATAATGTTAATGTTCCTGAACACTTAATGTAAAAACAACATTAACTGTGTACCTAATATTAGCTTTAATATTATCATTAATGTAGTACCTCATGTTATTAAATAGTAAATATTAATAAACATTTACTGTAAAGTGTAACTCAGTTTAGAATTGTGTTAGTTTGCATCACAACCCAGTCATGTCAATCTTCTTATCATAATAATAACAAAGAATCTCACTTTGCCCTCACTCACTTTATTTGTCCATCCAGTGATGGAGGTCTCAGCTCTACTGGTGTAACAATGATCCAGAACTCCATGGATTTGTCTTTTGGAGCCTCTGCTACACTGCCCAACACCACCCAGATTGTACAAACTATAATCAGAGCGGCTAAAAATAACAGCCTCCCTTTCCAGATCTTCACCTCAAAAATCATAGTGAATGGCACTGGTAAGTCATTTAGCTACATGGTTTCTGTCATTTCAGGATCAAAACAAGAGCCCTATGCAATAGCTCTAGTTTTTTACTTAAACTTTACTTATTGTTGTAGAATGGCTGTAGGAAATGTAAATTATAAGATGATAATCTTTTTAGAATTGAAACCATTTATTGCTCATGTCAGTTTTGGGTTTAACACACACACACACACACACACACACACATATATATATATATATATATATATATATATATATATATATATATATATATTAATAATGTAATATTTCATTTATTATCTATTTCTGTTTTAGCATTTACTTATTCATTTTTTTATTTGTTGCCATACAGTAATATCATCAAGTGAAGTCAGCAGCAAGGTCAGCATGTTCACAGCAACCTTCATGGTATTCCTGTCACTATTCTTCACATGGTCCAGCTGAAGCTATCCACTTCCAGCATTCAGAAGGAGTGACTTCAGGGTGCTTTTAGCCCCTTTTCTCAGTGTCAGTTAAGTGATTTGAAAAGAGGCCTTTCTGAGCACCATGTTTTTAAAGAATCTGTACTGGGTCTATACTTCATGAAAGCTACCTGTAATTTAAGTGAAACTTCAACTTGAAGCCAGATATTTTATCTCAGAGCAGTTCATACATACTGCTCTTCAGCACCTATTAATCACTAGTATGCTTCACATGTAAGTGTGCTTCACATGTAAGCCCTTTCTGAAAGTGTAAGTTACGTGCATAATGTAATTTGTTATCATTGTAAGCTTATTTATTTATTTAGCGCGTCAAGTCGGTTTTGGCTCCTAGTGACCAAATGGATGTTTCTCCAGAATGTCTTGTCTCTCGTTTGGGTCTTTAGGATTTTTAATGGCTGGCTCATGATATCTCTGTCTGTGGTTGTCCATATTGTCCATATTATTTAAAAATATATATTGATGTATTCAAATAAAATGCACTGTTATCATTAGTGTTGTTGATATTGATGATGATGTTATTACTACACATTTTTAATGCACTGCATCTTATAGGAAACACATGTTGCTGCTTTTTTGTGAAGACGTCTTGTGAATTTTCTTGATTGTACTCAGTCCTAAACCCTCAAGTAAGCTGGCAACATCAACTACATTACAGCCACATTTCAGAACCATACTACCCATTCCAACAGATTCAATATCATCAAAATTTCGAGTTAATCCAAAAATGATTACATTTTCAGTTACACAAACAGATCCACTATATCAACAGATATATACTTTACATCAAACAGATTTTTCAGATTCGGGGTCATCGGTTAAAACAACAGGAGCTTCTACAAAATCTGTAAAGAATGGTGTGGTGTTAAACATATACTTTGTGAATCTGTGTGTAAAAATGAGACAAAACCAGCAAAAGTTCTTTACAGTAAAGTGAATGTGTGTTATACAAATTATAAGCAAAAACACCAGTTTGACTTCAGATCTGGCTCAGGCCAAAACAACAAACAAACCCACATTAACTCCAAGAGAAATGCTTACTAACCTTAATGAAAACAAAATAAGAAACAAAAGACAAACAGCTTACTTAACTCCCTGATTAACACATAAAACAGACACAAAACCCAAAATAAAATGGTGGCCAAACTCTACAACTGGTGAATCTAATTACAAAAGGTACAAAAAGGGAATGTATATATAAAATATACACAATTTTGGCCAAACAGCCAAAGATGAATTAAATCGGAAACAAGCAAATAAACACAAGCGAGCCAGAGCTGTTGGTGAAAACTGGTGAAATTACCTTTAATGACATGCTTATATCACATCTCATGTATTCATGAGAGTTTATGTGATGTTTCTTTTCCATTTGGTTCAGTTGGTTTTACACTGCAACTGCTAAAATGGACCAAATTACACACAGGGTTTTTTGTTTATTGCTCAGAAACTTTGCAGGAATGCAATCACTCTGATACTCTCACATTTACCACCATGAATAATATATAAAAAATATAAAAATAGAAATAGAAATTGGTCTGGTTGATTGGTTTACCAGGTTGAATTTAATCAGATCACTTGGCCAAGTAATACAATCTGCAATCCAAATTAGAAGTGTATTAAAACAAGGTAGGTGTGACAGAGACCTTAATATAGCAAGCAGATTAGTTGGACAGTACCAGCAGATTATGTGGACAGTTATGTGGGCACCATCATAAAGATGCGTTCCCACCAGCAGCAAACTCATGCAGGGTTCACCGGTTCACAGTTAAGGTCTTTGGTGCACACCTGAATATGGGTGGAGTGTTTACATGTCAAATTGAACTGCATTAAAGAAAAAGCTTCCCACCAAACAAGAAAGGTGGGACTTTAGCATAGCAAGGTAGCAGTAAGAGATATTAACACTGACATTTAACAAATTCGAAGCGTGACTGAGTGCATAAGTTTGTGTATCACAGTAAAACATTTTTACTGGATCTGTTTGCTGCAGCTCCTCTCACTGAACACAAACTCTAAAAACAGGACTGTTTGGGACATGTCCTGCCTCCGAGTTTAAATTGAGATTTTGATTGGCTCTGCTAATGAGTTTAAACTCTCTTTTGGGAGTAGTTTCTCTGTAGTTTAATTTATTTGTGATGTAAGCATCCTGAACTCAATCAGCAAAAGGTGGACCGTCACCCCAGTACTGCCCGCTCACCCCCATGGTTCTGGTGGTCCTGGAATGGAGTAGGGACTGGAGGGAGTGGGGATTATCAGAAGACACCAGCTGGATTATGGAATAACTGCAAAAAACATCCTAGGCTGGGAAGACTAAACATATGGAGGCACAAACAAACAAAAAACATGAAAAAATGCGGAGCACAACATCACACATTCATTTAAATTTTGTAGACCTTCGCCTATCGTACAACAATAAACCCAACATTTTCGTATGCATTAATATGTACAACACCATCATCCATACCACACCTGCAAACTACTAGCAAAGACAGTAAACTGGTTACACCAGTTTCCAGTGATATTATCGTGGAATCTACTATCAGGTTTGGACAGACTACTTTGAAAAATAGTCTCTGAATACTAAAAACACTGCTGCAAATATAATGTATTCCTTTAAAATATATAAAAAAAGTAACATATTCAGAATTTATTTGGAATACATATTGATAAGACACATGGGAAAAATGTGTAAATTTTGTTTAATTCACACTGTTCCTCACTGTTACTGTTGGCAGTTCTCTTCATGTAATTATTCTGTTAATCACTCCTACAATCCCACTGCTCCTCCCACAGTCCCACTGCCCTCCTGAACCAAGCAAACAATTTGCCATATCCTAATTAAACACGTGAAAAAGCCATATACTTTAATAAGAAATTAGTCTACTAAAATTATATAAAGGATGCTTCAAGTTCTTCAAGATATACTTTGTAAAACAATAAAAATATATACATTGCTTAACTCATGTTAAAACTTTACTTTTGCAAAGTGTGTCCCAGTAAAATGTTACTGCTGTGTTAAGAATGTACTTCGATGAATTATGCTTAAGAAGCATGTTCATTTTGTTTTATACTTAAAATTAACTGAGCTTTATGCTTACACTAAACATTTTATTTATTTTTGTGTTAAATATGTGCTTCAATGAGGTATAAGAGGCATTTTGTGTTAAAAAAAGTGATTCAACAAATTATGCTTACAATGAATTGTGCTTATTTTATGCTAAACCTGTAACTAAAAGAGTATTGTGTGTTAAACTGTGTTTCAATGGAGTATGAGACCAAAAGATTAATGTTGTGTTGAAAATATGCTTACAATGAACTGTGCTTAAGAACTGTGCAATAAACTTCTGCTAAAGCTATAGTGTAACAAAGTATTTCTAAACAACATATATATTGTTTGTGTTGAACCTATATTTCAGTGAAGTGTGCTTGAAACAATGCTTGCAATGAAGTACACTTCAAAACAGCTTAAATATTATCTTCCTTGTGCTAATTTGATGTTAACTGCATGATAGAAGTAGTGTGTTGTTATTCAAGGTAATAGATTTTAAACTATCTGAATAATTATAACATGACTTTACCTTGAGAAAAAAGTATACTTTAAGTAGTGCTTAAATAGCTGTATACTTAATTTATGTTATGTTTGAAACCAATAATTTGTACTAAACTATAATATAATTGATATATATTTAAGTCATGTATACTAGGTATACTAGTCATGTGTTATTTTTGCCCATCTTAAGATATAATTTAAGTACACTTGTGCTGCCAAACTGAACTGTAAAAACACATTAAAAGTAGTATTATCATGTGCTCTTTAATCACATGATTAGTACATCAATTTATATAGTCCCTATATTTACAAATACTGTACTATTTTTGTGTGTACTCATACTACAGTGTACTTAAATACACATGCTTATCATACCAATTTAGCCTACCCTGTAATAAATTTCCTGCTCCCTGCACACCTGATTGAACTCATCACAGTAATCTCTATGTTCACTAAGGAATTTCAATGGATTTGTCTTAGATAGATAGATAGATAGATAGACTTAGTTTAGTTTTAGATAGTTTTAACTTTACATAAAATTAACATTAAAAAAACATTCAGTTAAATAGAGCTAAGTAAAATCTGCTCAGTATTTTCAGTGAACTGTTTGTGCTGCAGTGTGCGGTGATCACGTGATCTAACAGTGCAGGAGTTCAGTCCACACTATGAGAAGGGGCGTGTCCCAAAACCTGATGAGCTCTCTAACTAGCCGCCTGCAGAGCTGGTTTATGAGGAGCCTGGCCTCTTCCTGTTTCCCCCGTTATATTAAAACAGGACTGCACAACGCCAGAGGGCGTCCATGGGCAAGTCCTCAAAGAATGGGGCAAATGGAGCTAAACGGCTAAAAATACATACATCATCTAAACCGCTTATCCTTCTGGGTCGCGGTGGGGTGCAATACTGCTACCGAGTACTGTTTGGTTGGTTGATGGAAAATGTGCATAAATGTACTATAGACAGGTCTATATAGAACCTTTTTGAAAAGGGTTCTATGTAGCACCATCCACAGCACATTCTCCATCAATCTGAAGAACTCATTCATGATGTCAAAAACCCTTTAATCATGCAAAGGCATCTCTAAATGTTCATGGTTCCATATAGAACTATTTTCTTTACTAAAGATCCCTTGGAGAACCATCATTTTTAGGTGTGCAGTGTTGGAAGGTTATATATAATACAGCAAATATTATTGTGTACTACAGGTAAAATACTTGTATATTACAGGAATATGACATGGGATGCTAAGCACATATTTGTGTACCCCTTAGTAAATACTCAGTGTACTGAACCTGTATTGCAGGAGCACAAGAAGGATTCAGCAAATACACTAGATTGTATTTGTAAACATACTTATAATTATATACTGGGAATATATAACTTAATATATGAGCACACAAGCTTACCTTCAGCCTTTTAGC